TGGCCGGTTTTCGATCAAATGCGGTATCAAATAATCCTGGATCAAAATTATGGAACAATGGTGCTCATTGCTATATCAACCAAGTTCAGTTTCAGTCTCAGTTTGGAGCATTTCCAGAAATTTTTTTTGTTTTTTTTTCCATTCCCATTCATTTTGAGTTTTGAGTTATTTTTGACTAATTTTTAGTGGAAATTCGATGAGTTCCTAGGAAATCAAAGAGCAAGAAAAATCGAAGCTAGTATAAAAGTTCAAAAACGTAAGATTTATCACTTTTTTCAACGTGATCAAACGCAGTCGCAATGTTATTTGTTGTTATTTGGAACTCAATGCACTACGGAACAAAACAATTTTCCGGACAACCACGGTAAATGAAACCTAGAGATGATAGAAATGCGGTCTGAGCAGTTGGGAATACCATGAAGAGGACAAGCGAAACACTATGAAGTTTCTCGAAAAGGGGTGTCCACGCGAAGCCTACTGTCGTTAAAATACGTCCTGTAATCTTGGTCTCAGGCGTCTCACAGACCGTCCATCATGGGTGGTGATTTCTATCATTGGACGGCTTTTGTAATTTTGCTGCCGCCTTAACAATACCAATATTGACAAGAACGCAGCATTCAAGGCGGTGGTGGACGAGTTACAAAAGCATGCTTCCGAAATAGGATGGCACGGAGGCTTTCTAAAAAGCTGCTCGAACTCGAACTTCAACGATTTCCAGTTTGATGGGAGGCTCTATGAGCAAAAAAGAGGCCTCGCTATGAGAAGTCGTCTCGCACCAGTTCTTGCCGTCTTATACATGGATAGCATTGAAACCCCGAGTAAAGTCCACCCAACCATTCATTTACGGAGATAGATTGACGATTACATCGTGTTTGCCGAATCTCAAGATACACTCTACAATATTTGTATCTGTCTTAACATGTAGGCGGCACATATCCGTCTGACTCGAGAAAACCTAAAAGATAATGGTTACTTTTCCTTAACTATCCATTTTCGTTCAAAAACAATGTTTTCTCAAGTACATGGTACCGTAAACCTAGCAACAAAAATCTTTTTGTACGGATTCGGGTCATCCCAAACAAGAAAAAATCAACACCAGGGCCACTCAAAAAGACTGTCACGAAAATGTATCCAGCCAATGGGCACCTCGCTAAGACAGTAAAACATATAGATCATACGACAGTACCAAGAGTAGAACCTCCAAATCTTGTCAATCCCATTCGTTTCTGAATCAGGTGGGCTTGGAAGCAACAGCGGTGGAGCTGAAAGGCAAATCACTGCGCGACCTTCTTGCAGTGTCGGGTATGCCCAAAGATTGGTGATTGTTGTTGTGAAAGGAAAAGAGCAATTTATCAATTTGATTGTGATTTTGAAAGAAAAAATGTGGGCGAAAATTTCAGTGGATCGGAAAGATGGTTGAATAGCTCGAAAGCACGATTCGGAATCAATTCTAGAAAGATCACCAGATTCGTTCTATCGGTTTGTCACAAAACGCGTGATCAGATTGCGAAGGATTCCAAGGAATCTGTGACGGCTGCCAACCGTTTTCCCACCATCCATTCAATGTTTACAATGCGGACCAGTCCGAATTCCAAATCGAAATGAATAAGGCTTGAACACTCACTTTCAAATGATCAAATAACGCCCATTGCGTGGTTGGAAGTAAATAAATCGTCCACGACACATTCCTACACAGTCCTTCCATTGATTTCGGCATCTGGAAAGCTTCATCCGAAATCATTTGTGACCCTGAAAGGAACAAAGAACAGTTTTCGAAAAAATCACTTCCAAACCTTCCAAACCTTGAAGTTACTTGCAAAACTAGTCACATTATGACGATGGAAGTGTTCTTCGAAAAAAATCATATTCGAATTGCCCAGGCCGTAGGATGCTTTCCTCATTACAGGTTCTTGGAACAGTCGGAAGACACAAATTGAAAATACTGACGATTTCGGCTGGATTCTCTGATCATATCCAGCCCAGCTAGGCGGCAGCAAAATTACAAAAGCCGTCCAATGATAGAAATCACCACCCATGATGGACGGTCTGTGAGACGCCTGAGACCAAGATTACAGGACGTATTTTAACGACAGTAGGCTTCGCGTGGACACCCCTTTTCGAGAAACTTCATAGTGTTTCGCTTGTCCTCTTCATGGTATTCCCAACTGCTCAGACCGCATTTCTATCATCTCTAGGTTTCATTTACCGTGGTTGTCCGGAAAATTGTTTTGTTCCGTAGTGCATTGAGTTCCAAATAACAACAAATAACATTGCGACTGCGTTTGATCACGTTGAAAAAAGTGATAAATCTTACGTTTTTGAACTTTTATACTAGCTTCGATTTTTCTTGCTCTTTGATTTCCTAGGAACTCATCGAATTTCCACTAAAAATTAGTCAAAAATAACTCAAAACTCAAAATGAATGGGAATGGAAAAAAAAACAAAAAAAATTTCTGGAAATGCTCCAAACTGAGACTGAAACTGAACTTGGTTGATATAGCATGAGCACCATTGTTCCATAATTTTGATCCAGGATTATTTGATACCGCATTTGATCGAAAACCGGCCAAAAAAAAAAACGTTTTGAAACTCAAAAATAGCTCAACTGGTGTGACAATTTTTGGGCATAGGTTTTTTCCACATTCTGAATCAACGTGTACAGAATTTTTCATTTTTTGGTTTTTCAGAACACTCATTGGGGGCGGGGACTATCTCTATGACCCGGACTGTAGGGGGATAGGGGCAGAGAAGACAAAACAAGCTTAACAAAAATAACAATAAAAAACTGACTACGTGATAATCTCACTTCTGGTTGACGTTCGTTTGAAGCTGTTGACAATTAAGGTTGAATTGAACTCCCAACTGCGTCTTGCGCTGTTTCTGCACCTTCTGAGGATTGACCGTGTTCTGTCTTCGTGGTCTCCCAGGACCTCTTGGATCCTCTGATCGCTGTGGGAGATGATTCCGACAGATTCGTTGTTGTCTGTACTGTTGGTGGCAATCTTGGAGATTGCTGTCGTATTCCGTTCCAGCGTGGTCGGCCTACACCTCGACGGGGCTGCTGACTACCGGGTTGTCCACTGGTAGGCTGGCGTGCATTGTTCACAGCTGATCTTTGCCACCCGAACTTTATCTTGATTGGGCGCCCTCTGCTTCGGCCTCGTGTCATGCTAACATGGTTAGAGGACGTTCCGTTCGTCATATTGTCATCCATGGCCTCTTCGGGGGAATTCGCAACGTTATCCATTGCTCGCACAGTTGTTGGCGGTTCGGATCTTCTTTTTCCGACATCAACTTCATCTTTTTGACATTTTTCTGTTCCTGATCTGTTCTGATGTGGCTGTTCTTCGTTGGAGTGGAGCGAATATTCTCTGTTCGATGACTTGTCTTGGCCATGTGCTTTCTGAAAATGAGGGAAATAGTAAATTAACGAAAAATTATCTAGTGATGAGAGACTTAGCAGGTTTATTATCCGAAATCGGTTTAGTATTAGCGATAAGCTTCTCACCCTGTCGGCGTGGAGACATCGGCGTCCAGGCCTGGGGAGCGGAAAATGCATCTGGCAAAGATACCACCGGTGGTTGGTCCATCGTGATGTTCTCATCGGCAGGATTGGTGGATGCCGGAGGCATCGAAAGAGATAATTCTTTTCTGGTTTTGACTGCAACCTTCGAATCTTCAGTAGAGTATTCTGAAGAATGTTGACGGCGTCGTGAGGCCCTTCTGAGCTAACAAGCCGGAACAGTGTTCATTGGCATGTCATCAATGTCCACTGGATTTTGGGAATTTCCTTCACCAATAGATCGCAGAACATGGAGATAGCAACGGGAAACTTCTCTCGATGGGCCGCAAGTTGTTGGTCCACTGGTGGATGGGCGATTGTAGTCCAATTCGTAATTGAGAACACTTATTGGACACGTCTGATTGACAATTTGCTGATGAAGAGATCATTAGAATCAGTCACATCGCTTTCTTCTAGGGACAGAATCCTTCCTTTATCAGAGAAGACGAGCTGACGGTGTTGGCTGGCCCCAATCCTTGATACATTTTCACTGAAAGTATTTAGTTGATCCCTGTGTTTCCATAATTTTGATTAACTCACTCATTAATGGATTTTAGGTTGCAGAAAACCACCACACCTTTACCGACCGTGGCCACCCATTTCCGGTTTTGTTTGGGTCTCAAAAACACATTTGTGAACTTACAAGATTTTTTCAGCCAATCTCAGCCTTGGATCCATGTTCAACTCATCTCTAAAAATGCATTTTTTATTTGAAATTCAATGGAGAAGCCAAAATAACTCACTTTATATTTTCAATCGATCTCCCTGCCTTGGTCCTTTTATAGCATTTTTTCAAGTGGCTTTTAACATTTTCTTCAGCAAGATTCCAGCAGACAATCTTGTGATCGAAACCACCGCTAAATAGGGGGCGTCCATCGGGACTCCATTCCTGAAAAGGAAGATTTATAATTTCAATTTTATGGGAAAATAAAACTTACAACTGTTAGGATTTTGGACACATGAGCCGCAGGGTTATTGAAAATAACCAAGCAATATTTTGCCCTGATGTGCCACACAGGCACAGTGATGCAGTGGCAAACATCCCAGGGTTCGTAGGGCTCGTTCGGATGTTGTTGATTTCTCCTCTATTTCCTTCAATAACCTGCAAATCAACCTTTTTTTTTTAATTTGTCTAGAACTTAAAATCCTTACCCGCTCCATTTTATGACGATATAGACGACATAGATGAGACCCATGCCACTCTGTAGAGTTCGTCGTGATCCTTCTCCATTGTCGGATCCACCTGAAGAAAAATAAATTAAAATTGGAATTAGAAACTACGATAATTTTTCATTTTGAAAAAATTTTATATTTCCGTTATTGAAAAATTCCACTTCGACAGAGGTGGCCCATTTTTCAAAGTATGAACACGTAACTTTCTTCCGAAAGTTTCTTGTTTGGATATGTTCTCAGCGAGCTACAACTACCGTAAAACCTGTAATAGAAAGGCCTTGACACTGTCAACTTTGAGCTCGATTATCTCTACTCCTACCAAAGATATCAAAAATGTGTCATCTGATAAAATAGTGCTGATATCATAATAAACAATTTTTCAGTTGATAACTTTTTTATATCTTCCACAGAAACCAAGATGAATTGACTCAGAGGCAGAAGTTAGTGAGCTCTACCACAGGCTTTACTGTGTCACTATTTTTTTTCCTTTAAAGGTGAGGGGACAGGAGATTTTTCGTAGATTTTTTGTAGCTAGAGTATGCATTCTACCGTCACGGTGTACAACGCTTAATGTCACTCTGCGTACAGCTGTCGTCCTCGCCTTTATGTATGCAATCGGGCGTCCGCTTTCTCTTTGCCCGCGTGGCTCAGTCGGTAGCGGCGCCGCACCCTCAATCCTCGCCTTCACAAGTTCAACTCCTCGAGGGGCATCTTTGAACGGAATTTCGAGAACATCATTTTTTTCATGTCTCCCCACCTTTAAGACCGAAACTGTGTTTATTGCCATAAGTTTTGCGTTTGACGTTTTTTATCAAAGAAAGATCAATTATATTTTTTTAAAAATGGGGGAAATTTTTGAAAAATAAAAACTCACCATAAAACTGAAGGTTATAGTGTTCAGCAGCTCTATGCAGCTCCTATTCGCCGGAAGTTGATAAACATAGACCTGAAATTTTTAATTCATGATTATTGAAAAAAAAAATCAGAATACTTACAAACTCATTTTCAACCGCAGCTGCGAGTTGGTCCTTGTTTCTGTCCTCTTCCGTTTTCCTATAAGATGATTTGATTGAGCTGGCTGCTTCAGAGATTTCCCGTGCTTGGTCGTGATGGTGGCAGTGGTGAGGAATGGCAATGGATCGGCGGGGTTTGTGGGGTCGCTGGCATCTCCTCCAGTCTCCTTCTCCTTGTCTTTTCGTGTGGTTTTGCTGATCTTTGGAAAATGCGCTGTAAAATTGTATATGTTTATCGTGCTATTTATAAAAAATCTATTTAAAAAAAAAAGAATCTGTGTTATTTGGGAAAAAAATGGAAAAACTAACAGTTTGTCTCATGAAACTCTTTAAAAACCTCCTTTTGATTTCAAATTGAGGAAGAATTTAGTTTTAAAACTTCAAATTCAAAAATTCTTAAGTCGCGGAAAAAAAAATCAAGCGCGCTCTAATGCGAAAACTCGTAAAAACACTTTTTGCGACGGCCAACACTATCGGAGAACAGAGAAAAGAGACTAATGTGCGAGAGGCCGCGTCGCGCACGCAACGCGGATAAGAGAAAAGAGGGGGAAGAGACGTTGTATTGCGGCTGTGTGTTCGTGTGCGTGTATATCTGCCGCGTTCACCGAGAAATTGTTGTGGCCCGTCGAATGAGTGATGAACAAAAGAAGAGGAGAAGAGGCAGAGGGGTAAAGATAAATCGCATCTCATAAGTTTTCCAAATATGAAAAACAAGAAAAAATGAATTTGGGAATTTCGGATGTTTTTCGTTTTTTTTTTATTTTTCCAAGGAAAGAGAGTTAGAAATTGCAAATTCAAAATTACTGAATACCGATATTTGATCTTAAAAAGGGAGAAAGGGAGACTTTTTAGAATCACAGTTCACATGACTATCGTTCCGTTTTCAAATGCAACTCCAGTACACTTTCAATAGTTTTTTCAAGTTTTCTTATTTCGATAGCCATTGAAAACTGGGATAGTGTTAGTCTGGAAACCTGAAAATAATAAACAGAAACAAAACCGGCTTCAGTTTTTAATCAAAAAATTTATTAAAAATTAAAATATGGTACGTCCAGTGGATTTTATTTTTCGGTTCAATATTCTTTTAATCATGGAACATGGAGTTCTTCGCGAAGATATCCAGTAAAATCGGTTTTGCATCTTCTTCGTGGAGTGGAGAATAATGCAGAAAAGCAATAGTTGCTTTGTCTGGCCTACGGTTTAGAGCAAAGATTGTTCCAACTTCGATTTTAGTTCCTTTGTGAGTTTACGGAACTGAAGACAATTCGTAAAGTCTTTATGTTATCAAAAACTAGATTGAGAGTGTTTTAAGCGGTAACTTTAGTTTAGTAGGCAAAATCGACTATTATTTTTAGGAATTTGAACCACATTTGTACAGTTATATACGCCAATTCAAAATTTACTGTTTCAACTGTGAAACAGTACAGAATTCAAGAAGACTCACCTTTTTCAAACAAAATTTCGGCAACATTAAAAGGAATCCTTTTTTAGAGGAAGGATTTCAAGAATATAGGGAAAATAATATAAAGGAAGAGAATTCTTAGAAAAATCAATAGGGAAGGAACTCTCCAAAACCCATTCACTTAGAGTTTTTGGAGAGGTCCCAGAAGAGACGTCTATTCAGAAAGTCGTCTTGAAGAGAGAATGAATACTACTGGTTGGTACCTGATGGTATATATACCCCCGGGGGGGGGCGGAGTTTTTAGGGTCTATCCAGGTGGGTAGAAAGACATAGGGCGGAGTTTCCTGTCCGTTGCGTCATTTCTCTGCGTATCTACAATACCTACATTCACTGTAATATGCCTCTGAGGAATCCAGGTGGGGTTGATTTACAATCCCATTGTGCAGTGACATTCAGATTAACACATTAGATACCCTCTTTACATCTATTAATTTACAAGTCTAAATACACCTATTGTTTTATGAGCATAATCTGGACGAATTAGACTGAAGACAGGCAATTTTTCTTATGGGAAAAATTCATTTAGACAAAGGATTGGGAAGACAAGAAGGGCAACTTGAAAAAATGAATAGTTTTTTTATTCACAGTAAAAATTAAACAATGCTCAATGCATGAATTTCGGTTTGAAAATCAGGTAGATTATGGAACAATTTTTCAGGATTGGAATCTTTTTCCGGATTGGAATCATACCAAAATGGATTTGCAGAGGCAAATGAAAGCGTTCTACTGCTGGAAAGTGACCCTGTGATGAAGGAATTAGGCCTGTGCGGCAACAAATTGCCGAAATTGCCGAATTTTTGTTGCCGATTTCGGCAAAAAAATTTCGGCAATATCGGCAACTGAAATTTTTCTGAATTTAGAGATTTTCACATTTTTTTTAGTCAAAAAAAATATTTCGAAGTTCGAAAAATCAAATTTTGAACACCATCATCCCTCAGAATGAATTTTAAAGGAAATGTGCCCCAATAATCATCAAAAATACTCGCATCGGATCTAAAAATGGGCTTCAAATTTGTGAGCATAGGAGAAAAAAAGATATCATGAGTCACAACTCATCAAAAAAAATTATCCAATCTGTCTCAAATCTCTAGGAAACGTGTGTCGTGAGTTGCCTAACAAGTTGAGCGCACTATCTTCAAAACACACAATCGGAACAAATATTTTCAATCATTGGAATACCCTCTATTGCTAAAGAGCAATAGTTTGCATAAAAAATGTGGTCTTGAGTTGCCAATTTTTGAAAATTACTTTTTTAAGGAACTTATTAGGTTGGCGGGAAAGTCTTTGTCACTTTTTCAATAGTTTATTTCTCAAAGAAAAAATAACCGAATAATTAATTATATTGTCCATCATTATCAACAACATGTCTCCAACGTTCCCTCAATTTATGGATTCCATTGCGGTAGAATCCAGCCGGGCGTGAGGCAAAGTATTGTTTGAGTGCCGCTTCGACCGCTCCACGGGAATTGAAGCTTCTTCCTTCGAAGGCACGTGTCATATCGCCAAATAACCAATAGTCGGAAGGAGCAAGATCAGGAGAATACGGGGGGTGAGGGAGAACATTCCATCCATATCCCATCAGCTCCTGCTTCACTTGTTTCGAAACATGTGGGCGAGCGTTATCATGTTGATAGTACACTTTCTTGTCTTTCAGGGCCGAACGGTCGACTGCTTTCTTGAGGTTTCGTAGTTGAGTAGTGTAGAGGTCTCCAGTTATTGTTTTGCCCTCGGGCAGAAGTTCCCAGTAGATGGGGCCGTCCACTCCCCACCACACAGAGAGCATAACTTTTTTCGGATGAAGGTCGGGTTTGGGGACATCCTGTGGGCTCTCTCCTTCTCCAACCCACTGGGATTTCCTGTGGTGATTATCGTAGAAGACCCACTTCTCATCTCCGGTTATTAGCCGGTCCAGCCATCGATCGCCCGCGTGGAGAGTGAGAAGAGTAATCGAATCGTCGACTCGGCGGTCAAGGTTGGCTTGAGTCAGGTGATGAGGTATGAATCGACCAAAAAGTTTTCTCATTCCAAGAGACTTCAAACCTTCAAGGACTGTGCTATGGTGAACTCCGAATGTGACAGCTAGTTCACGGCTAGATTGAAATGGATCCGATTGCAATGCGTGCTTCAGCTTGTCCAAATCCAACTCACGGGGTCTCCCAGAGCGATCCTTTTCATCGAGCGAGAAGTCATCTTTTTCGAAACGATGGAACCAATTGCGAATAGTATTGTAGTGAGGGGCATGTGTGTTGTACACATTCTTCAAGAAAGTTTCCGAATCCTTCATCGTGGTGTGAGATAGGAAGAGGTAAATCAAAACATGTCTGATGTGAATAGCAGTGGGAACAAACATATCGTTTCAATTACAGATGAGGAGCAGGGAAGGAAATGGGGACTTGTTTATATGGAAGGTTCTTATCACCTTGTTATTCACTAGAGTCGATATCATACACAGCCTCCATATACGAGAACAGTGATTAAACAAACAGAGTGACAAAGACTTTCCCGCCAACCTAATATAAAACACATTTTCTGTAGTTCTGAGACTGATAGAAGCATTTTCAGGTGAGTTACGTATCGATTTTACTAAAAAAAGACGCAAAACTTTTGTTGCCGAAATTGCCGAAATTTTTTTCGGCAATTGCCGAGTTGCCGAACGTTGCCGAAAAGTATTCGGCAAATTGCCGAGTTGCCGAACGTTGCCGAAAAAATTTTGTTGCCGCACAGGCCTGGAAGGAATGGACGATGGGAACACAGAGATTTTTGTTCTTTTGAAAAAGATCACTGAAAATCTGTTGTGGTGAGAAATATTCACATTATCTGAAAAATAATACAATCAGAATCAGATCCAAGGTACAAAATAACACTAAGCACCTCAAAAAAAGCCGAAAAATTACATATATTTTAAGATCCATTAATTTCTTTGTAACTCTCGGATTAAATTGTGCACGACAAACCAGAAAAAGGCCTCCGCCAGTTTTTTTTCTTGATAAAGGGCCACTGCTCTTTTTTCGGTGTAGGTGATTGTCGTGAATCCCGTGTCAGAAATCCCGACCATCAAGTAACAAGAGAGCAACAAGATGGCCTGTCACAGCAGAAGAAAGAATGGATGACTCAATGATAATGGAAACGTGCAATCAGCGCCCCATGAATCAGTGCAAGGAAATAGCAGGAGGATTAAGGAGGAAGGAGAGAAAGCAGAAGAAAGAATAAAGTATATAAATGATCGTTTGTCTTATATTTGCCATTTTTTTATCATTTTCCTCTTTGGATCAGCTCCTGGTCCAGAGTGCGAATAAATCTCTGTTAATATTGAAACCTTGTCTATTTTGAACCACCGTCTCAAGAAGAACCCGGATGCACAGCCCTTTCAGTGATAGAATTTTAAAAAACCAATGACCGAGTACTGAAAAGGTCTGAACAAGAAACATCATATGCGAACGGTTGGCATCTTCACTTTTTTTTCCAGTCTAGCTGAAAGTCTAAACAGAGGTCTGCAAGCTCAAAACGGTGGACACACAAGATCAACTTCATCAAGGGCTCTTCAATTTTCTTATAATAATTAAAAAACGGGTTCTTTACAAAGGTATCCATAACATCCGCTTCAGTTTCTTCATCCGAAGGGGAAAATTGTCAACAATCCTATTGTCCTTTCTGCAGTTGTCGAAGAATTCTTTGAGCTAAAAATTGTCTATTTGCCCTCCAAATTGAAATAAATATCTGACGTTTGTGTGGAACAGTGTCGTTTTCTTCTCGATTCCAAATTCCTCATTTGTAAAGTCAACTAAATTGAGACCTTTAACATTGTTGGATTTCGGATTTTTTACATTCTTTTTCAAGAGAGAGAGAGAGAGAAAAAAAAAGTTTCAAAAATTACATAGACTGAAAATTTCAAAAATTTTTTTAAGTTCTAAGTTTGTTAACCAGTCTCAAAACTTGAAAATCGGTAAGTCTCAACTTTGGCATAATTTTTCCACTTGGGCCCCCTTTTCACATGTCGCATGAAATAATTTTTGATTTTATGAGTCCCTTCCCCCTTTTCACACAGTTTGTTGATTGTTCACAATTCTGCATACTTGTAATCCGGGCCTTTCCCGGACCTTCGCGAGACCCGCCATAGTTTCTTTCAGAATCAATAATTTCGTAGCAACTAAATCAGATATGATAGAACTCGACGAGTACTACAAGATGACTCTATTTTAAATACTGTATCTTGTCAGTGAACTATGTTACGAACGAAAAAGAGCGAAAAAAGCTGTCCCGGCCCGGCCCAGCTCGACACGTCCGGACAAAACCACTTTAATGCCTGTAACTTTGTTTATAGACAAGATACGGTGATCAAAATAGTATCATTTTGTAGTACTCATCAACTTCTGTCATATCTGATTCAGTCGGTTCAAAAAATTAACTCTACAAGAAACTATGGCAGGGACCGCGAAGGTCCGGGAAAGGGCCGGATTACATGTATGCAATTCTGAGATTTCTGTATTTCTGAGATATCGCTTAATATTATCACATTTATATGTAGTAACAGTAACAACAATGAAAATCTGAAGAGAGTTCGAATTTTTATGGTTCCTCAAACTGCCATTCATCACAAAGTGTCTAATGGTAGTCCATTGCAATCAGTTGCTTGATCGACCTTTGCATACCTAGCAGCTACGCCTAGAATAAAAATCCAATAGCATATAGCATAAAATAGTTAGGTATACTTACGCTACCAGCCTTGGACTTCTGACTGCTTCAGTTGAATTCTATAATTCCAATATTCCTCGTCCCTCATCTGACGTTGTTGCTGATCCAGCCATTTTGTGCTCAGTTTCATCGTTTTCTCCTTCTCCTTTTCAATCTGTGCTTCCAACTGTTTAATTTTCTCCAAAAGCTGCTGATGAAGATCGACAGCATCTTGCTGTGATGGTCCTTGAGCTGAGGTTCCTGGTCCATGAGGAAGATGAAGAGGATTTGGGAGCATCTGAGCTTCTGGATATCCGAAAGGGTGTGAGGATCGATGGTGCGTTGGAATATTTGGTACAAAGCCAGGGTGTTGTGTTGAGTTAAGCACCGCATCAGGATATAGTTGCTGTGGTGCACCTTGTCCTCCGATATTATGCGCCATCCGTTCCATGCTGGCTAGTGAATGTTGCGGCATTCCTGGTAGAGGAACTGGAGCATGCAGAAAGACACTGTGCTGATGAGCAGCCCGGTATTCATATGCCGGATGGTGTGGGAAGCCATGGCCTGACATTTCTGAAAAACATTGGAATTTTCAAACTCATGAAGTAGATTTCAATCTTCAAAAAAATCCACTTTTCACTAATCTAGTTGACAAATTTGTAGATGTCGTCAAAAAAATATGGCTTTGATTGATGGTAGCTGGATGGGAGAGAAGGCTAGAGCTAGAAGCTTTTCTAGATTCAGTGGCTGAGAGACGTCATAAGAAAATGAAAAATGGTTAGCGAGAGAGGCGAGTAACACGATTGAGGTCGTAAAAATGGGAAGAAAAAGCGAATAGAGAAGGAATGCATGCGGGGATGGTTGGAAAAAAAATATTTTCCCAGATCAATTGACAGTGAACATCGCTGGGAACCGAAGCACACCTAAACTTTGAGCTCAATTATCTCCATTTCTGTGAAAGATATCAAAAAGTGGTCAACTGATAAAATTTGTATCATCTTATCAAAAACTTATATATATATATATATATATATATATATTTCACAGGAGCCGAGAGAAAAGAGATAAATTCGATACTATCAGAGATAAACACGCCGCTAACCAAAACATAAAAGTAAAGAAAGACATCACTTGAGAGAGGTTTCATACAAGAAGGAAGACATAAAGAAGTGGAGAAGTCATAGAGCAGGAGGCTTGGATCGTGACAAAAAGAAACGAGGAGGCTGGAGGCAGGACAATAACCGAGAAAAAAAAGGAAGGAGCGTCATCCGAGGGAGGGGTATTAAAACAAGGAGAACACATGAACCTAGATTTGAGGAGGGTGTCCAAAGGAAAGAACCAGTCTACCAATTTGAAAGAGCCACATGGAAAATGGAGGACAATTTTTAAAAGCGTTGTAGATATGCCTGGTCAGTATCAGGAACGGAAGCAAACTGAAACCGCACCTCTCTTTTTCATCTTTCAATTCTCTTTTGGAAATTTAAGCAGAGAATACACATAGAGATCCAGAATGCGAAATATAACAGTCTTTTCGTCGTCTATTTATATTCGCTTTTTTTAATGTAGACAACATGGGGGTGTCTATGTATGATAATTAAAATGTGTGGGTTCATAAATCAATCAATTTTCTCTCGTGTCGTTTGGAGTATAACTATAAGTTTCTGGTGGGAGTGACGAGATGAAAAGCTTAAAAAACGAAACATAGAAAAGTGAAAAAGGAGAATTTCGTCTGGAGCAGAATTGAAACCGGATGAGAAGAACTGGCAAAATGTACTGATAAAATATACAATTCTTATCGCTGAAAAGTATCAGTCTCAGAAACTTCGGTCCCTAATACATACCGGAAATTATTGCGAAATCCACCGGTGTCTCTTTTATCTCACTTTTTGTTTTTTTTTTAATTTAAAAAATGTCAATTGCCCCCTTTTCCACTCAATCCGATGTTTTTTTTTCTCTTGTGAACTAGGCGGCAGTCTTTTTGAGGGTCCCTTTGAAGTGCCTACAGTGACTCTATGTTTTTTTCCCGAAAAACATACGAAACAAAGAAAATTTGAATACTGTGGACGAGGAAAAACTTTTTGGAAGAAAACAGAGTATTGAAAACAGAATTTTGGTTTCTCTCTATCGAGCTAACTCAAACTACGGTCGTTCGGACCTCCCATGTCATATTCGCATTTGTTTCTTCACGCCTTTCTATGAACATTTGTAACTGTGTACGGCAAAACGGCAGCTGTTCTCTACAAGTTAGCAGACACGCCTACGAATAAGATACACTTAAGCTGGATGACCTTACAGGGCTAATTGATCTCTTTCGGAGCAAACAGGAAGCATGAGCATTCGTAACTAAGAAATGCAGTGCAATAGTAGTTTCCTACAAGTCAGGAGGACAAGATACAGTTCCACTATGTTTTTTTTTTCGAAAAAACATACGCAACGAAGAAAATTTGAATACTTTAGATTACGAAATACTATTTCAACAAAAACAAGATGAGAAACAGGATTCGGAAGAAGACAGAGAACGGTTAATGTCCCTTCATCGAGCTGACTCAACCTATGGTCATCCGGACCTCCCATGACGTCATATTCGCATTTATTTCTTCTCGCCTCTCCATGAAAATTTGTAACTACCGATATATACCGATGTATACTACCGAACGGCAGCTGTTCTCTACAGGTCAGCAGACACCTCCGGATGATATGTACTAGAGCGGATTGACCTCTTTCGGACCAAACAGGGAGAATGAGCATTTGTAACTGATGTGAGTATCCAACGCCTGTTCTTTACAAGACAGCAGACACCTCCGGATGATATGCACCAAAGTAGGTCAAAGTTGCTCACCAAGCAGGGCAGAGGGGGGAGGTGAGAGGAGGACAAGTCAGCAGACACTCCCGAATGCGAAGCATCAAATCAGATTGACCTTACAGGCCTCCCTATCGGACCAGACCGGTGAAAACATGGGGTGTTACAAGCAGATCGATATGCGTAAATGTAATCGGATATTGTGGGGGAAGGGGCACTGTAGAAGATACTTTCATAAATCTTTCGAAGGACCAAAAAGATAGTGGAGGTTACAGCTCCTTCTTGAAAAAGGCAAAAGGAAAGGTGAGAAAAGGTGGAGGGACGTTATGAATTTATTCAGTAAAACAGAAAAAAACACAAGAAACTGGAAAAATCGACTGCTTCCAATTTTGCGATTGGGAAGGAGAGAACTATCGATGTGGGCAAAAATAGGAAGATTCCGTTTTTAGGAAGGGGGGGGGGGAATATTGAGATGGATGAAAATCGAATGATGCCAATTCCAATGATGCCAATTCAAATGATGCCAAAGGGAGGGGGGGGGGGGACATGGAGAAGGACTAAAAAATTATTTCACGGGAAAAATATATTGGACGACAATCAACTGCAAACCGACTTGTGCTTCGATGGATGGAACAAGACGTGCAATGTGTTGTTCCTCAAACTGATGACTAATTGTGACAAAAAAATTTTATGATGATTCACTCTTAACTATTATTGCTGTCTGATAGAGAGAAAACGGGCTCAGGCACAGAGAAAATTTGTCTGCGTCTCCGTCTTATATTGTTTGTTCGCTTCGAGATACTTCTCTCTAACCGTTTTTTTTTCTCAGACCGAAAGTATACTCTAAAACCCGATCCTAGGATTCCAAAGTTAAAAAAAATCAGTTCTAATCCCATCAACTTTTCTGCATTTCAAACTCCTCACCTTTTCTAATTCTTTTCCTTTCCCTTTTCTTCGGTCTTATCCTTTTCCTTCCTCGGCGAGGAGTCTCAACCCTGAAATATCATAATTTTACACCTTGAGAAAAAAATCAAACTTTTACCGTAGGGAGTGGTTTGAAAGGCCGAATTCGGAGAGGCCTGAATCCGAACGGTCTTATTGCAAGTCCTTGGGAAGTTCGCATGATATTCCTCGGCGGTCATACGGTCGAGAACGTCCATCTTCTGAGAAATTATACTTTTGGTATGCAAGAAAACAAGGCAAGCATGAAAAACAAAATATTTTGAAAATATTTTGCTTTTCCACCTTGGGAAATGGGTAGAATTTTCAAAAAAAAAATTGGTGACGGGTGTGTAGAAATTTTGCTTTAGACCACACTACCGTAACACCTGTAACATATGAGCCTCCTAACTTTCAAGATTATTTTAGACTAAGTTTGGTTTATTCGAGACCAATTTTGAACTATTTCAGATTTATTGTGAACTATTTCAGACTAATTTCGGACATTTTAAAAAATGATGAAAAATGTTCAAAGCACGAAATTTTAATGGAAACAAGCTCAAAACTTGAAAAAATGGGTAAATCTTAACTTAAGCATAATTTTTCCGTTTGGGCTTTCTTTCAAGATTGGATCATTTTAGACATATTTTTGACCCTTTCCAACCGATTTTGGGCTATATATTAGATATTTTAATAAAGTAAATCCACATTGGCGTAAAAAACTGACAAAACAACATCAAAACCCGATTGGTAACTGAAAATTCAAAATGAAAACAGGATTCATGGGGTTTTCTTGGTCTGAAACGCAAACTCCGCTCCGAACCTTTATTATCTCTCTGGACCGTTATTTTCCTCGCGGACCGTTATTTTCACTCGGAACCGCTAAAATCAGATAGAGCCGAAATTTACTATATTTTCCAGGAATTTGAATGAAATTTGTACAAATTATATCAGTTAATTCAAATATTACTTTTTCAACTGGGAAACGTTCTTTAAAAAAACTCACTTTTTTCAAACAAAATTCCGCCAAAAAATCGATATTATGAAATCCTTTTAGACAAAGGATTTTTAAATAAAGAAAGAATAGTATAATGGGTAAATAATAATCAGAAAAACAAAGAAAGGAACTCTCCAAAACCCATTCACTGAGGGTTTTTGGAGAGCTCCCAAAAAAGACGTCTATTCAGTCAAGACGTCGGAGGGGTAGACTGAATGGTATGAGGGTGGAATACATAGAGTCGACTTGCCTGTCCTCTCTGCGTTCTATTGCGTCATTCGTTGTTCGTTTCTCTGCGTTTCCACAATCTCTACACTTACTGAGATTCGCCCCTAAGTGAGAAGACACCGAGTAACACAAAAATCAAAAAATGTTTTTTTCAGTATCTGGAAGATTCAAAACGATCAAAAGTGTTTGAAAAAACAGAAACAAAAAATTTTTCGAAAATTTTCAGCATGAAATCTGAACTGAAAACAATTTATAAATTCTATATTTCATTATAAACTAAATTGAGAGTCGTGACTATTTCAAGTGGTGTATCTTTTTGTATGAGTCTAGTTCAGTTGGCAAATTCGACTATAATTTTCAGGAATTCGAACAAACTTTGTAGAATTATATAAGCCCATTCAACATTAACTAAACTATGAAACATACAGAATTCAAAAGAACTTACCCTTTTCAAAAAAAATCTCGGCAACATTGGGTATTACGAAATCCTTTTAGATGAAGGAATTCTAGAAAATAGGAAGAATAGTATAGAACAGAGAATATTTAGAAAAATCAATAAGAAAGAAACTCTCCAAATTATGAACGTCTTCAGGGTCCATCCAGGTGGGTAAAAAGACATAGGGCGGACTTTCCTGTCCATTGCGTCGCTTCTCTGCGTTTCTAAAATATCTACACTCACTGCAATATGCCTCTGAGGAATCCAGGTGGGGTAGATGAACAATGGCAAATGTAGTGTGATATTCCATGAAACCCAAAAAAATTAGCTCAAGCTTGACAGTATGGGGATTTTGATTTTGGGATTTTGGGGAATGGAATTTCGTTTTCCATATATTTCTTTTAAATGAAAGTTGAGAAAATCGTTTTTGAAATTTGGTGTTTTGCAATAAAAACGATTTTTTGGTAATTCTTGCCACGTAGTTTGACTGCGCGCGAGTTTTAAAATTCTCGCAAAGGTTTCCGCAAATTGAATCTTTTTGAGCGTTGTTGAGTCACTACTCAGCTGACGACCACCACAAACTTGGCTCAATGCCAATTTTCATTCCGAGACCTTTTCCCGCGATGCTATTAAAAACGGAAAAGTTTCGAGTATGCAATTATTTATTAAATATAAATTATTAGTTGAGCCTACAACAAATTCCGGTATATTAGCATATCTGGCTGTACTGAGCAAAACAAAGGATACTATGCAACAACAAACAAATAACAAAAGCTTCTTCATGGTCTTTCTGGAATTAAAAACATTATTAATGATTATTGAGAGTTTTCTTGGTTGCTCTTCTGAATGCTCGATCATCTCTCTCCTTGTCCCAGAACTGATTTGTGACAATTGCCATCAAGGATCCAAAACTTCGAATCGATCAATGACAAGCTTGCTGAAGAACCGATGGATCACTTCATCCCAAACCAATGGTTCAGGCACCATGTGTTGAACCACTTTATTTCGATGATTTTGTCGACGATGGTCCTAAAAACCGATTTGATGAATTGATTCCAGAACAAGAGAACTTACCCAGGGCTAGATGCGTTTCTCAAATTTCCAGACTGAACAAACGAATCTTAGGATATTGAAGGGATCGAGCCATTTGGAGCTGAGAATTTGTTTTTCAGACCAAGCCTCTATGAGAATGCTGTTGATGTATGAGCAACAACTCAATAAGCAGTACAACTGAAAATATTGATTTCAAATCTTCGTTTCAAAATATCTCTATTTTTTTAATTCAGAAACTTTGTTTGTTTTTTCTAAGCAAATCTAAGAAATTCATGGCAGAAAATAGCTAGTATCTACGGTGCCAACGAAAATTTCATCAATTCGCCTATTTTTCAATGAGATTTTTCATTTTTGGGCTTCCAAAAATTATTCTAATCCAGCTAGATTAAACTGTCAACTTTCACGTAATTTATCTCGGTTCCTGTGAGAAGTATCGAATCAGGATTAACTCCCAAAATGTTTCTCAAATCATCAGATATATTCTAACAGTTGACCTTTTTTATTTCTTACAGGAACAGGAAAGATTTGCTTTAAAGTGTTTACTTCTCTGATTAGTGTTTCAAATTCAATAAATTTCCAGACCTCAACTGGAAATCACTAGACAAAATTGAAAAGCAGCACTGGAAAGACTGCATGAAAAATTTGGCTGCTACCAGGGATGAACAAGTCAAATTTGGATTGATAAGGATATTGCAAAAAAAAACAATAGCAGGTCAGGTTTTACTTATTTTTTTTTTCTTGAAAATTGAAATTTTCAGATCCATCTTCCGGTTTCTTCTCGATTTTTGTGCCAGCCCGGGAAAATTTTAATGGTTGCTCCAATTTAATTGATTTTCGATTCTTTTTTTTTCAATAAAAATCTTCGGTGTTCCGGGGCAAAAATGTGTTGTGTTCTTTGAAAGGAAATGTGACTTTTTCTCAATACCTTTACAATCTATTGGTCAGTCTGTCGTGTGATTCACGCAAAAAACAGATCTAAAATGAAAATAATACACTCACCAAATTTTCATCTTCCAAGAATCCTTCTCCTCCGCCAAATATCCTGATATCTGGAAGCACTCGGTTGTTAGTCCAATATTCAAGAAGGGATCCAAATATGACGCTAATAACTACAGACCCATAACGCTCACTCATGCACTTTCCAGACTCTTCGAAAGATTAGTCCTTGAAGAGCTAAAACGTGTTATCGGTCCGAGTATTTCTCCGAATCAGTACGGATTCGTCAGTAAGCGATCCTGTGTTCTAGCCGTCCTTGAGTCCACTTCCAGAATACAGAAAACCTTAGCAAATAAGCAACAATTCGTAGATGTTATTTTCTTTGACTTTCGCAAGGCATTCGACACTGTCCCACACAATCTGTTGCAGCTGAAAATGAAAATGAGGCGAATAGGTATTGATGAACGATGCTGCGATTGGTTCGAGTCCTTTCTCAGCAGAAGAGACCGTGGAGAAGAAAGATAGCTGCCTGGGCCAGTTGTAAGAGCAGAGATGATCCAAAAGACGCTTGACGTCACATTTTTTATAGTCTAGACGTTTTGACGAGGTAGTGTTGAGGATGGGTGAAGGAGGAGAAATACTAGGTAGGATTGTTTCGAAGAGCACAGAGGAATGGTCAGAGAGCAGGAAAGGGTGTAAGATTCACGGTTTTCGATATGTGTTGCGCGCTTGTTACGAAAATATCTAGGTTCTAAGAATGTTTTGCAGCTACCTGCAATGTACTTGGTTCTGGCTTGGAGAAGTCCTACTATTTGAGTCAGATCGGATAGTGACATCAGGCTTTCCAGGCCAGCAGGCATATCATTAGGCAGAAGGTTATCAGAAGACCGGTTTATCTGCGGGTAATTGTAATCACCGAGAAGGAAATTGAAGCGATAGCTGTTGCTGAGCAGTACAGATAGATTGTGAAAAAGTACATCGGATTGGGCTGGTGAGGTGGACGGAGGACGGTATACTAAGACGAATCGGCAACGAATCGGGGAAAAATAGGAAATTTTAAAAAATTTGAAAAAAAAAGAAAAAAAAGGAAAAAATAGAAAAAGAGAAAAATAAGAAAAATAAGAGAAATAAGAAATTTAGAATTAAAAAAAAATAGGAAAATTAGAAAAACTAGGAAAAAAAAATCAAAATAGGAAAATTAGAAAAAAAAGAAAAATTAGAAAAATTACAAATTAGAAAAAAAAATTAAAATAGAAAAAATAGAAAAAATAGGAAAATCAGGAAAATTAGAAAAAAAATTGAAAATAGAAAAAAAGAAAAATTAGAAAAATTACAAATTAGAAAAAAAAAATTAAAATAGAAAAAATAGAAAAAAAATTGAAACAGAAAAAATAGAAAAAATAGGAAAATTAGAAAAATAAGGAAAAAAAAATTAAAATAGAAAATTTTGAAAATTTTGAAAAATTACAAATTAGAAAAAAAAATAAAATAGAAAAAATAGAAAATATGGGAAAATTAGAAAAATTAGGAAAAAAAATTAAAATTGAAAAAATTGAAAAATTTGAAAGATTACAAATTAGAAAAAAAAATTAAAATAGAAAAAATAGAAAAAATAGGAAAATTAGAAAAATTAGAAAAAAAATTGAAACAGAAAAAATAGAAAAAATAGGAAAATTAGAAAAATAAGGAAAAAAAAATTAAAATAGAAAAAATAGGAAATTTTGAAAAAAAAGAAAAATAGGAAAAAATAGAAAAAATAGGAAAATTTGAAAAATTTCGAATTAGAAAAAAAATTAAAATAGAAAAAATAGGAAAATTTGAAAAATTAGAAAAAAAAATTAAAATAGAAAAAATAGAAAAAATAGGAAAATTAGAAAAATAAGGAAAAAAAATTAAAATAGAAAAAATAGAAAATTTTGAAAAAAAAGAAAAATAGGAAAAAATAGAAAAAATAGGAAATTTTGAAAAATTACAAATTAGAAAAAAAAATTAAAATAGAAAAAATAGGAAAATTTGAAAAATTTGAAAAAAAATTAAAATAGAAAAAAATAGAAAATTCAGAAAAAATGAAAAAAAGGAAAAAAATAGAAAAAATAGAAAAAAGAGAAAAATTAGAAAAATAAGAAATTTAGAATTTAAAAAAATAGGAAAATTAGAAAAATTAGAAAAAAAATTGAAAATAGAAAAAAAAGAAAAATTAGAAAAATCACAAATTAGAAAAAAAAATTAAAATAGAAAAAATAGAAAAAATAGGAAAATCAGAAAAATTAGAAAAAAAATTAAAATGAAAAAAAGAAAAATAGAAA